AAAAAAAAAAAAAAAAGAAAAAACTAAAACTAAAAAATAGATGAATATGACCATTTTTAACCAAGTGACTGGCACCGAGAGGCAGGGAGAAGAGGGTGGCACCATGGGGGAGAGAATCGGGTGAACAAAGGGTTAGGAAGGAGAAGGGAAGGGGGGGAGAGGCAGGGGAAAGTGAGGAAAGTAGTGGGACCGGGCAGAGGAGGGAAAGGGAGCCACGGGAAAGGGGAGGAGAAAGGGCCAGCGGCTGAGAGAAGAGGCCAGGCGATGAGTAGGGGCGGCGGGGGAAGAGGAGGAGCAGGTAAGTGTCAAGGGCAAGGGAAGTGGGGTGAAAAGAGAGGGCGAGAAGCTGTCGCAGCTGGAGGGGCAGGTGGGGATCGAGAAGGGGCTGACCGAGAAGCCAGCGCCAGCATGGATTGAGCAGGTGCGAGGCGGGGAGAGGTCTCGCGGCCAGAGGACGGCCAGCAGCAAGCAGAGGATCTCTAAGGAGAAGGGACAGGGTGAGAAAAAATACATAAATAACTTTTTACAAAAAGAGAAAAAAGGAAAAAATCTTGCTGACAGCTCACTGTCTTCTCTTTTAGGCTTGTACGACAAACCCTTCCTGTCTACGGATCAGGGTCTGGTACTGATGCCAGGAGAGACGATTTCCCTCAGGTGTGGCTCGGCACACACCCCATTTGATAGATTTGCACTGGCCAGGGAGGGAGAAGCTTCTCTGCCGCAGCACCAACACGGAGGACGCCAGGGAAACTTCACTCTGGGTCCTGTGGACGCCGGTTTCACAGGGAACTACAGGTGCTACGGTTGGAAGAGCAGCAGCCCCTACCTGTGGTCAGCACCCAGTGACACCCTGGAGCTCGTTGTCACAGGTAGGTGCATCCCAGTCCAGCCCTGCATCGGGCTGGCTGCCTGATCACCAGGTGGGAATGTGAAGGGGTGCAGTAAAAAGAATAGGGTAGCAAAGACCCACTTACTCGAGGACTATGAGAGAGAGGGCTTCTCACTCACCCCACATCCTTTCTAGAGCTCTCCAGACAGTATCCTTTGAAAACATATGGTCTACTGAGAAAGGAGAGACCAACATTTAGAGTCACACGTTTAGGGGCTGTGTTGAGACAGTAGATACCAGACACAGCCCAGGCCAGAGCACCTCTCTTTTCCACATGCTTAGTTGCCACTGGAAATCCTTAAATCAACCTAGAGTGCTAGAATCCTCTGTGAGTGATTTCCTGGGGCCTGGGGTTCATGGGAAGAACTCTTAAAAACTCCATTATGAGGTGGGGTGTGGTGCCTCACGCCTGTAATCCTAGCACTCTGGCCATCCGCGGCAGGAGGATTCCTTGAGGTCAGGAGTTCAAGACCAGCCTCAGCAAGAGCGAGACCCCATCTCTACTAAAAATAGAAAAAAATTAGCTGGGTGTCATGGCTTGCACCTGTTCTGCCAGCTACTAGGGAGACTGAGGCAGGAGGATCTCTTGAGCCCAGGAGTTTGAGGTTACTGTGAGCTAGGCTGATGCCATGGCACTCTAGCCTGGGCGACAGAGTGAGACTCTGTCTCAAAACAAAAACCTCCATTATGAGCCCCATTTTCATTCTGTTTGCATGCATCACTCTGCTTAGAGGGAGAAAGCTGGAGTTACGGCAGAAGAAAGCAACTGCCAATCACTGGGCAGG